GAAAGTTGCACGGGTTTTCTTTAAAATTGTATTTTAAACATCATTTATTTTTACTTTATAATTGTTGTTTTATAGCCAATTTATTTTATTAGAATTAAAAATACAATAATATATTTATTAATTGTAATTAATAAATCACATCCTAATATATTTATAATAAATTTATTTTAAAAACTGCTTACATAAAAATTTCGAACTCCAATTTAAATAAAAATGCAAAAATCATCAAATCGCCTCGAGCCATTTTATTTAAGAAATGTGGTTTTAAACCTTCCAACTCTTTTGGATATATCCAATTTCGTTTGTGTAAACCATTCCACAAATAATGTTACAGAGAGTTTGTACATCAACCCCTTCAATCTTCCTCAAACTGTATCTATTCGCAAAATTATTGAATTGTTCCCAAAACTGGAGACATTGTATCTTCCTTTTGAATTAGACTACGACTTGAGTTTTTTAGAAACTCTTGGCACTTTTTTGATTGAGTTCCGACGAAAGACTTTATCTTCAACAGATAATTGCCCATCGGAAAAAATAACTTCTCTATTTGAAACGGAATGGTTTCCTCCACGTGTTCGTTACATTCACATTTTTAAAAAAGAAATCCCAACATTTGCAGCAAATCTGAGTAAATTTGTTCAACTTAAAACTATTACGATGGGGTTTTATAATACAACATCAGACTCAATGGATTTTTTTCATATTTTAGAGCACCGAAGTCTTAGAACTGTTATATTTTCAGCGGATTCACCAACTACAGAATTACTCACAAAATTCAACTTTTCAAGATACTCCGAAAAGCAATTTAAAATACAATATTTTGCATACGGCAGACCAACTCTGTCCACAGAAAACGTTGCTGAGATCTTTAAACTTTCTACGAATGTCCAAGTTTACATTTCATACATTTCAGATATCATTTTTAGTTCAATTATTCAAAAAGGAAAAATTAATTATCTCCCATTTTTTAGTGAAGTAAACTGTGTTGTTGCAAAAGTGTATAATAAATGTCTTGGGTCAGACAACATTTTTAAATTATTAGAAAAGGCACTTCCAAAAGAATTTCGTGTTGTAGAAGACGATATAATTGACTTCAAAACAACGTCTATCATAAACTGTGATTTGACACAATTTGAAGAGTTAAATTTTATTGAAAAATTGACGTTGACAAACGTGGTTTTTAATAAAATAACACTTCCATTTACAACAAAAAATGTGGTGATAAAAAATGTAAAAGGGGATGTGATAATGTGTAAGTGCAAGTTAGAGATAATTTTAATTAAAAATCACACTGGACAATTAAGTAATTTTGAGTGTGAAAATGTGAAGAAATTTGATTGTGACAAAAGTTGTGAAGTAACATTTAAAGGAAAAAAATATAGAGACACACTTTTTGTTCAAGTTGGCGTGGGTTTAAAATATGACTTTTCTGTCATGATATTAACTAAAATTGTTTTTTTGAGAAAAAATAAGGAAATAGGAGAAGTTATATTTAAAAATGAATTTCATTATGATTTAAAAAGAATCGTTTTTAGTGATGTTTTCAGAAGTTTTGATTTATAATATTTGAACAATAGCGAATTGGAAATCGTTGAAATTGGTACAATGTGGACAAATCCATTTACAAAAATAACACTCACTGTTGGGACTTTGGATAAATTTGTTTTGTATAAATCGTTTGAATACAATTCATCAATAAACAGTATTATTTTTGATAAAATAGAAAACCTAATATTAGCACATTGCAACGTCGACACAATTGTTGGTAAAGAAGTTAAAGTTGTAGTGTTGAACCACGCTCATATCGTTACTATACAAGTTGAAAACATTAAATTAACAAGATTTATTGATGATACCATTATTAAAAATTCCAAAAATGCATAAATTAATTATATTTTATGCAATTTTAATTTTTTGATAAATATGATGTAGTTAAGGCTGAAAAATCACTTGACAAAGAAAAAAGGGATGACAAAATTCTATTTTTAATTTTCAGAGTAATTATTATTGGGGTTTGAGAACCATTATTAGGGGATTTTGTTTACATGTCTCATATAAAAAATACATTATTTTTACCACAAATTTGGTTTTGCTATATGTTGTAATATGTATAATAATTATAACGGTTATGCTTGACCTAAAAAAACATGAAAATTATTTGAAAAAATAGCATAAATAGAATTATTATCAAATAAAAACTATTGTTTTCAACTTTTTTTTGGTAATCGGCTT